ATGTTATACTGTTTATTTAGCCCCTTTTCTCGAAACCTAGTGACGCGAGTTTACAGCCCTTTCGTGATCTTGGGTGATGATGAAGAAAAATGTAGTGTAGAAAGATTAAATTTAAATAGGTAAACATTTATTTTAATTTTGATTGTAGTAGTCTTGGAATTTGGTGTGTTGACGTCATCATTCCAAATTTGCTTGGGAGGTGTGGAATTCCCATCAGACAGGCATAGACTCCCATTGTCCGATGCCACGACGAAGTTGCCACACCACAAACAATGATTTGCTTATCCTTAAAACATTAATTTGATTGCCAATCCCTAATATTTTGGATTAAAAGCAAAATTTTGGGCCATACTAAGCTAAAAAAAAAAAAAAACTCTCCCATAAGCCCAGGGATTTTTATTCCGGACTATGACTGAGGGTCTAGTCGGCCCTGTGTTTGGACCCACCCTATCAGACCCCCTGGGGCCACCACTGAACGACTATAATGGGTAGGTATTTAACTAAGGTCCTGTCAGTTTTTACAGTTATAGAAAAAAAACTAACCCTAAAAGTGACTAAAAACATAAACATGTTTCCCATACCCCGATCCAAAAATTGGTATTTTAAAGCAAAATTTCGCAACCAGGCTATCAAGGAAAGTAAGTATGATTGTTGGAAATGGTTAGCATGTTATTTTGAATTCTCATTCTGACCTTCGCCTGGGCGAAGTGGGCGAAAGTCTGGATCTGCTTCTAGTTAGCATGAATATTGTAAGCCAGGAACCATAGTATTTTGTTACGTTTCTTCACAGACCCTCCTCCTGACCCCCCACCCTGGATCAGCCACTGTTTGAAAATTCTCCCTGAATCTTTGCAGTTTATGTAATCTGTGTGGGGTCAGTGCATATTTGAAGAAAACACATGTTCGGGACCACCATGTAGGTCTATATTGGCTAACAATATTGCTAGCATGACTTGTCAGCTCAGTTTATGTATATTTTAACAATTTATTAAAAATTGAAAAGATTCCAAGCGAATGGAGCGTAAGCACAACTTCCTAATGTTGAAGGAGACAGAAAAGATTTTAATAACAATAGGGGAATTCAATTAACTTCCATCCAGTGTTTGGAAAATCTTAACAGCTTTATTTACTAATGGCCGATGGGAAACAGTTAACTACTTTCTCACTTTTACAAAGTAGACACATTGACAGTGGCGGCGAAAGCATCGGGGGTTGGGGGGAAATGAAGGGAAAGGTATGATTTTTCTTTTGGGGGGGGGCAAGTTCTCCGACGAGAGCAAAGTGGGCGTGGTCGGGTGTCAATTAAAATGTTTCAAAAGTGGTCGATGGGGCGGATCCCCCGGAAAATGTGACAATTTAGGGTTTCAGAGGGTTATTCAATCGATAATAAATAGATAGTCAACTAATATGTAGAAAATACATATATATTTTTTCTCCTCGACGAATAATTGTGTTTTTTTTTCTACTCTACTAGTGGGGGGAGGGGTGGGGAAACAAATTTTCCAGGGGGAATTTTCCCCACCCCTGTGCCCCTTTAGTGCCGCCACTGCACGTTAAAAGCAAATAAACGAAGCACTATGATTCGTATCATAGTACATTGAGTTTTAATTCATAATACTACTGATAATACTGAAATTCTCACGAAAATGGACGCGGGAGGTGACAAGAAACTAGTATTTTTTTTAACTTGGCCTTACATGTTGTTAGGGAAAATATTTGGGAATATTGTTTTAAAAAAGTGATCTTTCTTAATTTACTCCATAAATTGTAAGGAATTGTTTTAATGCCGTGAAACCTGCATTTCTGGAAAAAAGGGTCACTAATTCGGACCAACGCGGGCCTTCGGACCAATGGACCGTCGGAGCAAAGACCCTTCGGACCAACGGGCCTTTGGACCAAAGACCCTTCGGACCAATGGGCCATCGGACCAAAGACACTTCGGACCAAAGGTACGCACCCATTTTGTGTAGGGATGCGATTATTGTAAGGCATAGTATTAATTTGGGCTTTACCTCATCAAACGTATCGGCCAAGTCATCGAACTTCTTTATAATATCATTCTTTGAACTCGATCCTTGATTAATGTCCATCAACTTGTTTTCAAATTTATCGGAAACATCCATCTCAATTTAAAGATTTATTGATTTTACTGAGAATAAAAAATAAAACAGATGCCTCAAGATTGGAAAACTGCATGGCAATTAAATAATATAAATGTAGGCCTAATAAAAATATAAATACTGTATATTGACATTAATAAATTACCGTAAATTAATTCACTTAGAATTATGAATACAAGAATGTAACATTGCATATGAAATGAAAACATACAGAGACAACAAACAGAATTTACGTGTTTTTCTTCATAATCACTTGATATTTCAATCCATCTTTAATATATTATTTGCAGGAATGTTAAAACATGTACAAAAACAAAAAAAATATTTTAATAGTACAGTCATTTAGTTAAGTGTTTAGTAAACGATAATTGGAGTCAATATTTACACAAACATTACGCAGTGTGCAGAAATTAAACTAATAATAATAGCCTCAAAATAATGTATCTAACAATTGACGATATATATATAATAGGTCGGGCGGCAAATGGTCGGGTGGCAAAAGGCCGCTTCGCGATTTTTTCCGTACAAAAGATTTTCATGAAATGCCAGAGGGATATATTAAACTAATTTAATAATAATAATAATAATAATAATAATAATAATAATAATAATAATAATCATAATCATAATCATAATCATAATCATAATCATAATTATTATTATTATTATTATTATTATTTTATCGTACAGTACTGATGCCTTAATATACAGGCAATGCATGGAAACTTCCTAATTTCAAATAAATTTAGTAACACTTCGAAATAACCATAACTTACACAATTATCCAAGCTTCGATTTAGGAGCGAATCAATCAAACGTCCGAAATATACAAAAATACCTACACGGTTAGGTCTATGCCGCACGTGCTATAATTTCCCTGTTCACTTACGTGTTTTCTGTAGTACAGTACTATAAAAATTCCCATAAGCATCATTTTAATATAGAATTCATGATTTTTCCGAGGTCACCAAGGTCATGGGGAATGAACTAATCCAGATGGGAAATGGATCAACCCAAACCTATTCAACCAATAAATAAGTAAGACAGTCTGAACTGCGCATGCATGTATGCAAGGTCAATCGATTGAAACGGTAGTCATGAATATCCACTAACTCTGTACTCGCATTCACCATGATGGGCTGACTTCGTAATATGAATGTATATGTTTATATTATGTATGATGTTTGCAGAAGAATGGAAAAACTTTAAACACAGCTAGAAGAGGCAATAGAGAAGCGTTTTGGAACGGTTCAACAAACAGAAAATGTCTTAATGGAGTGGCGCTTATGGAGACGAAAACCAGGGGAAAATTTACAAAAGTTCGGCCAGATTGTGCTTGAGCTTGCTATGCGGCAGTACCAATTAGACCCTCCAAAGGACCAGCAAGAACGAATAGCTAAAGGGGATATTTTTTAATGTAGTAGAATATCCTGTGAAACGAGAGGGTACGTATCTTTACGACCACTGCCCTAAGACCTGGACGAGGCTATAACAGCAACTAGCTGGACTACATCGAGTTTAGTGAGACGAAAAAGCGATATGTGTCCTGTGCGCGATTTTTTTTTCCGTACGAAACATTTACATGAAACTCCACTCGGGCTGTCTCGGCTGAATCGACCCGAAAATCTCATTGCAGAATTCAGGAGGTCAAAAGGTCATCGACAGATAAACGTCTACAAAACAACTTCTGAGAGAACGTCGCTGTCTAATTTTTAAAAATACATTGATGTTACTATATGTTAATACCAATGGGTCG